CAAAAAGAGAAAGAAATCAAAGAAGGAAAGACTAATGGCAATGTGACAAATGAAGGCAGAGATGCTGAAGAGATGTTTCAATGAACCTGGAGCCTACACAYATCTGGAGTTATCACCCATATGGAGCATCTTACTGTTGCCAGAGGGGTTAAATGTCTTCCTAAAATTTCACATGGCCCAGGTGTCGCCATCTGAAGAAAGATTTTTTGAGAGGGGAATAACAATGAGTTAAGCAGTTTACTTAGGCTGGAAAAAAAGGGGATATTTGATGTAAATCCCTTTAAAGTCACTGAGACAGATAAGTCCACTTAAACACTGCCTGGGGRAGAACACACAGCTTTTATTCATTGACCAAACAGAGTTAGAGGGATCTGTGCCTCCAGGAACCAGACTGGTCTCAGAGTGAAACAATTTCAAATACAAAACTAGACCAGAAGCAAGACCYGAATGGAGAACCCTCTTAAGGTATCAAATAAACCCCACAAGGACCAGAATGGATCACTGATGTGCCTGAAGAGCAGATTGGGATCTCTAAGGCAAAAAGGAACAGTGCTTCCAGTGCAATTTCCTCTCTTGTGAGGTGTCAGTGCCAAATTCTAGGAAACAATTCKTTAATGAGTCTCTTTGGAAGCCTCTCAGAGGCAGGAAGCCTTGCAGTTTAATGCTAATCCAAAGAACAGAATAAACTTATAGTTCTTTTTCTTGACCAGGAGATTTAATTAGGCAGTTCTGATGTTTTACCATAACTTAGTCTGGCTCTGCTGCATTGGCAGAATGCAAGGCAGGTCAGAAATTACCCTTGAGATAACCCAGCTCTGATAAGCTTTGGATCTAAAGAGGAGTCTGGAGTTTTAGCATTACTATTTCTGCTGCTTAACAGATCCTTCAATGCTAGCTTATTCTTAAAAAAATAAACTTTTTTATAAAGTTTATATTAAAAAGAATTCTCCCAAATAGCAATTTGTTTCATTTTATGGAAGATGGAGTTATTCCAACCTCTAGAAGTTCTCACTTATTCTAGATTTTCTTACCAAATGTATGAAAACCAGACAGAGACCTCTTAGSAAACTTAGTAGGAAAACATTGCAATTACTTAGTGAGTTTGCAAAAATATAGAAGAAATATAGGAAGGGTTATTGATTTCTGTCTCCTTGCA